GAAGTGAAGAAGGAGCCATATGGCAACCTGAGAAAAGAGTGTCTCTGATGAAGAGAACTGTACATGCCAAGGCTTTGAGAATGGACCTTGCTTGGTGAAGTTAAGGAAGAGCAAGATAGGGAGTGTGGCTGGAGCAGAGTGGGCAACTGTCTGAGTATTAGGAGATGGGGTTATGGAGGTAGTATAGAGCCAGGTCATTTAGGGCACTGAGAACTTAACACTTTAGATGGAAAGCCCTCTGAAGCATTTTGAGACAGGAGAGTATGAACTGACTTATGTTTTAAAGGCATCTTTGACTGCAATATGGAAATTAGTCTGCAGTGGAGCAAGAATGGTTATAGGGAGACTATGTGAGAGGTTATTGTAAAATCTCCATGGGATATAATGGTGGCTTGAAACAGCATGGGAGCAGTGACAGTGGTAAAAGGGATTAGACTCAGGATACATATTTGAAAATGAAATTGACAGGATTTGCTGAAGGACTGGATATGGTGTGTAAGAAAAAGAGGAGTCAAGGATGACTCCCAAGCTTTGAGGACTGAATAACTAATAGAAAGTAGTTGCCATTTCTGTCATAGAGAGATCGTGGGAGAAATAAGTTGTGGGGTGAAATATCAAGAGTTTAGCTTTCTATCTGCTAAGTTAGAGATACCTATTAAGCCTTCAAGTGGGAAAATGTGGGGTTAGCTATGTAAGACTATATTAGCTATATAAGACAGTATGTAGATCAGGTTCAGAAGTAAAATCTGTAAGTTGGAGCTGGAGATATAAATTTTGGATTCACCACGGCATAGCTAATAATGAAAGCCATGGAATCTGATAAGATCAACTAGAAAGATAAATATAGATGGAAAATAGAAGACGTTGAAGAGGATCTGAGCCTGGATCATTCCAATGCTTAGAGACTAGGGAGATGAAGATGATTCAGAATATGACACTAAGAAGGATCAGGCAGTGAGATAGCAGGAGAAACAAAAGAGAATAGTGTCCCAGCAGCCAGGTGAAGACGGTGCTTCATGAAAGAGAAAGAGATCCATTGCTGCTTCTAAGAATTTGTGTCCAACGAGAACTGAGAATTGGTCATTTGATTTAGCAATTTGAAGGTCATTGGTGACTTT